TCCTAGATTTTAATGACGGAAGCAGGCCACTCTCCTTGGCTTACCAGTCGATGTAAAAACACTTATCAAATGTTTTTTTATGTACATTTCTAAACCCCACACACAAACTTGTTCGGTGATTTCCTCTTCTGTCTGTCTCCCGTTCATGTGAACTGTACTGAACTTGCTTGCCTCAAGGTGTGCCAGCGGGTTGTCTTTTCAAAACCATGCTCACACTTCACAACATAAACTCCAACCTGAGGGCACACAGTCACACACACACACACACACACACACACACACACACACAGCCACATCCGGATGTGGTTGAGCCTGTACCTCCAAATTTGTGCAACTCCGATGAAAATAAACCAAACTAATGCTACTCTGGGATCTTTCAGTCAACTCTAACACTAGAATGCATGGAATATTTTCATGTTTGAACACTGATTTTGCCTACCTTGACCAGGTCTACGTTCGTTCTGCTAGGATCTGAAGGCTTTGCAGTGGTTGTTGTTGTGATGAGGTATGTACCGGTATCATACGTTGGACATTGATTTTCAAGGCTGTTTTGATAGATTCCCTAACAGTTGGTTATGATCAATATTCGGATCCCATTCAAATCAATGACACGCCTCCCTGGTCACTGTTGAAATACTGTAAAGAGGAGGATGAAAGGAGAGGAATCAGTTATATCTCTTTCCATCAATACTATCTGACAAAATCTGTCAGGATGGACAGAGTTTCTGTCTGAACAGGCTGTAGCAGTTTGAGGGGGAAAGAGAGAGAATACTGATACCAAACAGACACATTCCTGCAAACACTCACTCCTCACTCTGGGATTATTGTAAATCCTCTAATGCTGTGTCTTGTATATATATCATGTGTCTTATCCTTTCTCTCCTTCTGACTAACAGGCAACACTAGGCAGTCTCTTCTGGCTAACAGGCAACACTAGGCAGTCTCTTCTGGCTAACAGGCTACACTAGGCAGTCTCTTCTGACTAACAGGCTACACTAGGCAGTCTCTTCTGACTAACAGGCAACACTAGGCAGTCTCTTCTGACTAACAGGCTACACTAGGCAGTCTCTTCTGACTAACAGGCTACACTAGGCAGTCTCTTCTGACTAACAGTATCACCTCTTCTTTCATGAAGGACAGAGTTTCTGTCGGAGCAGGCTACAGACATATCACCTCTTCTTTCGGGGAACGAGTGGAAAGATTTGTGACCCCAGTGTCACAACATTTAAATACAAAGGGTTATTATGAGAGAACAACATGATACTCTTCCAGGGTTTCTTAAGAATCCTCCCCTGGGAGACCAGCTCCTCTAGGTGATGCTTTTGAATCAGGGTGTGAGAGTTACATTTACATTTTAGTCATTTAACAGACGCTCTTATCCAGAGCAACTTACAGTTAGTGCATCCATCTTACCCCCTAAGGTCGATGTCCGCACCCCCGCGGAAATATATATGTAAAGTTTTTTTTAGTATACAGTTTAAAAAAAAAACTTTAAATCCCATTGTGGATTTATTAGACTGCATAATTGCATTGGGGGCATACATACAGTACATACAGTGGGGGAAAAAAGTATTTAGTCAGTCACCAATTGTGCAAGTTCTCCCACTTAAAAAGATGAGAGAGGCCTGTAATTTTCATCATAGGTACACGTCAACTATGACAGACAAAATGAGAAAACAATATCCAGAAAATCACATTGTAGGATTTTTAATGAATTTATTTGCAAATTATGGTGGAAAATAAGTATTTGGTCAATAACAAAAGTTTCTCTATACTTTGTTATATACCCTTTGTTGGCAATGACACAGGTCAAACGTTTTCTGTAAGTCTTCACAAGGTTTTCACACACTGTTGCTGGTATTTTGGCCCATTCCTCCATGCAGATCTCCTCTAGAGCAGTGATGTTTTGGGGCTGTCACTGGGCAACACGGACTTTCAACTCCCTCCAAAGATTTTCTATGGGGTTGAGATCTGGAGACTGGCTAGGCCACTCCAGGACCTTGAAATGCTTCTTACGAAGCCACTCCTTCGTTGCCCGGGCGGTGTGTTTGGGATCATTGTCATGCTGAAAGACCCAGCCACGTTTCATCTTCAATGCCCTTGCTGATGGAAGGAGGTTTTCACTCAAAATCTCACGATACATGGCCCCATTCATTCTTTCCTTTACACGGATCAGTCGTCCTGGTCCCTTTGCAGAAAAACAGCCCCAAAGCATGATGTTTCCACCCCCATGCTTCACAGTAGGTATGGTGTGTTCTTTGGATGCAACTCAGCATTCTTTGTCCTCCAAACACGACGAGTTGAGTTTTTACCAAAATGTTCTGTTTTGGTTTCATCTGAACATATGACATTCTCCCAATCCTCTTCTGGATCATCCAAATGCACTCTAGCAAACTTCAGACGGGCCTGGACATGTACTGGCTTAAGCAGGGGGACACATCTGGCACTGCAGGATTTGAGTCCCTGGCGGCGTAGTGTGTTACTGATGGTAGGCTTTGTTACTTTGGTCCCAGCTCTTTGCAGGTCATTCACTAGGTCCCCCCGTGTGGTTCTGGGATTTTTGCGCACCGTTCTTGTGATCATTTTGACCCCACGGGGTGAGATCTTGCGTGGAGCCCCAGATCGAGGGAGATTATCAGTGGTCTTGTATGTCTTCCATTTCCTAATAATTGCTCCCACAATTGATTTCTTCAAACCAAGCTGCTTACCTATTGCAGATTCAGTCTTCCCAGCCTGGTGCAGGTCTACAATTTTGTTTCTGGTGTCCTTTGACAGCTCTTTGGTCTTGACCATAGTGGAGTTTGGAGTGTGACTGTTTGAGGTTGTGGACAGGTGTCTTTTATACTGATAACAAGTTCAAACAGGTGCCATTAATACAGGTAACGAGTGGAGGACAGAGGAGCCTCTTAAAGAAGAAGTTACAGGTCTGTGAGAGCCAGAATTCTTGCTTGTTTGTAGGTGACCAAATACTTATTTTCCACCATAATTTGCAAATAAATGCATAAAAAATCCTACAATGTGATTTTCTGGAGAAAAAAAATCTCAATTTGTCTGTCATAGTTGACGTGTACCTATGATGAAAATTACAGGCCTCTCTCATCTTGTTAAGTGGGAGAACTTGCACAATTGGTGGCTGACTAAATACTTTTCCCCCCCACTGTATATGCAATGTATATGCACTGTTCAGCCTTACCTGTGGAGGGTGCACCCATGAAATGGGCTATCAGTCTACTCAGTGACACCAACAGAAAACAACTATGTAGAGTTTACACAAATATTAGCGTCATAGGTCTTATTGCAAGACTATGAAGCCACTGTGAAATAAGCTCACTAGTCAACCTGTTGTGCGTATGACATACACTCTGAATGTGACCTGAAATGATAAATCCCATATTGGTCTTTCACAGTCAGGCCAACCCAAGCTGTACTGTACAGTAGGCTAATAGTAGGACTACTATTGAAACAGATGAACTGAGTCAGAAATTCACAGGTTTCAGATGTTCACAAAAAAATAATAAGTATATGTTCTAAGTCCATAGCAATGCTTAAACCACATCAGGAGACCACTTTTGAGGTCTGGGAAAAATCTAAGAAATTTGGATTTTTGAGAGTAGTTACCCTTTAATTCAATTACATTTACATTTTAGTCATTTAGCAGACGCTCTGGAGCGACTTACAGTTAGTGAATACATATATATATATATATATATATATATTTATATACTGGCCCCCCGTGGGAAACGAACCCACAACCCTGGCGTTGCAAACGCCATGCTCTATCAACTGAGCTACATCCCTGCCGGCCATTCCCTCCCCTACCCTGGAAGACGCTGGGCCAATTGTGCGCCGCCCATGAGTCTCCCGGTCGCGGCCGGCTGCGACAGAGCCTGGATTCGAACCAGGATCTCTAGTGGCACAGTTAGCACTGCGATGCAGTGCCTTAGACCACTCCGCCACTCAATCAAACTATTGTTTGATTAGCAGTGTTTCTGTAGCACATGAGATGGAGTTTGCAAAAGAAATGGCCACTGGATTGAAGCAAATAATCATGATATCATTCTGACAGGTAGGCATAGGCTACTTTGTAGCTAGTTAACATTTAATAGAGAAGGTTTTAAGGAAAGCCTTTCCATCTACCAGAAGACTGTTAGGCCCAGTGGCGGTTTTACACGGAGGCCGGGGGAGGCCCGTGCCTCCCTGGAAATGTACCTGGCCACCCCTGTGGCCCCCCCGTGCTGACCAAATAAAAAATTATGAATTTATAACTATTTTACACGCGAGCGCCAAAAGCGGAACTAATGCAACGCTCTACACGGCAACGTTCTACACGGGTAAATTAGAGTGGCGCACCCAAAAACTGTATCCTGCCATCTGCCTGCCTGCCACGTGTGGTGCTGCTTCGGTGAATGAGAGCTCAGCAACTACTATTTGCGAGAGGAGCTACGATTTGCAGGAGTCGAAGGTAAGCAAAACGATTTAATATCATAAGTGACTTGTTGTTCTTGCACATAGCCTACATGTTCCTTTTGTTCCTCACACATAAATCAAATCAAGTTTTTAAACGTCTGGTCTCGATTTGTTTAGAAATGTAATCATATCTAAGCAAACTCATCGAAGCAGAAGCAAATATCCAAATGTTAGTAGGCTATCCTTGCTAGGTCTACACAATGTTGTGATGTTAACCACGTAACTTCATCCGTCTTGGCTGTTGCATCGCGATAACAAATACATTTTTAGTAAAGTAATCAACAGGTTATCTGCCAGTGTTAAGTAGGGAGGGATGGTTAGGTAACAAAATGTAATGCATGCCCCTACGTTTTTTCTTCTTCTAATAGTTATCATGAAACGAGGAAGGGACATAAAGTCATTTTTTGCCCCAGCAAACAAAAAAGTGAGAGAAACAAATCGAGGTTTTGAGAAAGTTGAGGAAGAGGGAGAGCCAGCATGTGATGAAAGTGAGGGGTCTGACAAAGAGAGGGAAATTCCAGAGGGTGAGGAGGATGAAGAAGAGGGTGAGGAGGATGAAGAAGAGGGTGAGGAGAATGAAGAAGAGGGCGAGGAGAATGAAGAAGAGGGTGAGAAGCATGAAGAAGAAAGCATACAGGGACAGAGAGATGAACAGCCAGAGGGACAGCAAGTGGATCCATGTGGATCAAGTACTGCACCATCAGGTTTGTGATGAGGAAGGTTCTTACTATTTGCAAAGCAATGCAATTACAATGTAATGGTAGGCCTGCTGGGTGTCCTTAAAATGCTGCTTTCTGCTGTTAATTCTTTTTTGTGTCAATATGGCTCTGTTTTTTTTTTAAAGTAAATACTTTGCCTACATTTTGAAATACATGCAGATATACAGTAAATAAATGTTGTAGTTGTGCCCTATGTTTACTGTCCATCTTCTTCAGATATCAGCAAGTCTAAGTATGACGTACCAGTACAGCCGAACTTGAAGATATTCCCAACCACACTGATGGGGGACAGAAGACGAAGCTTCAGACCAAACTGGTACACTACTCATCCATGGCTTGAGTATTCTGTAATGACGGACTCTACATGTTGCTATGCATGTAGACATTTTAGCACACCAAATGCCCCAGACACCGTTTTTGTTTCAACACCTGGTTTTACAAACTGGAAAAAGGCAACTATGAGAAATGCAGGGTTTTCACTACATGCAAAGTCTGAACGACACAAGTGTGCAATGATCGCATGGAGGGATTATCAAAGAGCTGTTAGAACTGACGCAACACTAACAGATCTCCTTGACAAAGAACACACTAAACAAGTACAAGAAAATCAGGCATACATTAAAACAGTTGGGGAAGTGCTGTTGCTTACAGCTACACAAAACATAGCACAAAGAGGACATGATGAATCTGAAGGGTCCACTAACAAAGGAAACTTTAGGGAAATTCTTAACACAGTTGCTAACCACGACCAACTTGTTAAGAGAAGATTAACTTCCATTCACAATGCAAAGTACACAAGCAAGATCATCCAGAATGAGGTTTTGGGTTGTTTGGCAGAAATGGTTCGGTCTGAAATCATAGAAGAAGTGAAGAAAAGTGAGGTTTTTAGCGTCATGGCAGATGAAACAAAGGATATTTCAAAAAAAGAACAGATGTCCTTCACACTCAGGTACTATTACAATGGGGCCATTAAGGAGAGTTTTCTCCATTTTGAATCTGCAGAGAGGTTAGATGCAGCAGGGCTTACTGGAAAAATAGTACACTTACTGGAACGTTATGGCCTGGACTACAAAAATAACCTCGTAGGCCAAGCGTACGATGGCGCTGCCGTTATGAGCGGTAAGCATTCAGGGGTTCAGGCAAGGATCAAAGAACAGGCTAAATTTGCCTTCTACGTCCATTGTAGTGCTCATTGTCTGAATTTAGTGTTAGTTGATGTAGTCAAAAGTGTCCCAGAAACGGAGGAGTTTTTTTCTTTGTTACAGAGTCTTTATATGTTTACTTCTTCCTCATATGTGCACCCAAAATGGCTGTCTCTCCAAAGAGAAATGTATGGCAGAACCAGAGAGCTGCAACGTTTAAGCGACACACGTTGGTCAAGCCGATTTCTAGCCCTACGTAATATCATGGACACTCTACCTGCCCTTAAACGACTACTGCAAGAGATTGCTCAAGAACGTCATGGTGAAAGAACTGTTGAGGCCCGAGGTCTTCTTGCTCAAATTGACCTAGAATTTGTTGTGCATCTTGTTACTCTGCGTAAGTTGTTTGGGGAGACAAAGCTATTGTCTGACATGTTACAGTCACAAACTGTTGATCTGTCAAGTGCTGTTGACTTAGTAAATGCTTTAGTCCTGACATTGAAAGACCACAGGCAGGAGTCTTTCTTTGATGAGTTGTGGGATGAAGCATTGAATATTTGTGAGCAGTGTGATTCTGCAACAAGGTCAGTGGCGAAACGTCAGAAAATGCTGAGCTCTAGACTCAGTGGCTACTGCACGCTAAGCACTGTTGGTCAGAGGGAGGTAGAACGTGACAAAGATATGTTTCTCACATCATTTTTCTATCCTGTAATTGACAGCATGCTCAATGAGTTGAACAGACGTTTCTCCAATACAAACTGTGAGCTCATGAGAAGCATACAGTCTCTCAGTCCCCAGAGTGATACCTTTTTAAAGGAGAGCAATGTTTTTTCATTTGGCCGTTTGTATAATGCAGACATTGATGATTTAGGGCATGAGCTCCATCAATTTAAGAGAGTTTTGGACAGAAAAATACAGAGTGGTGAAGTCAAAAAGCCATGCAGTACAGTTGAGCTGGTTTGTTTTATTGAGCCATACAGGGAAGTTTTCTTTGAGCTCTTTAGACTGTGCAAGATTGCTGTAACCCTTCCTGTAAGCTCAGCCTCTTGCGAACGCAGTTTCTCCACACTGAAACTGATAAAAACCTTCCTGCGGTCCACCACTAGTGATGAGAGACTCAGTGATCTTGGTGTCCTGAGCATAGAGTCCAGAAGGGCCAAGGCTCTGGATCTTGATGTATTTGTGGACCATTTTGCCAGACAGCACAACCGCCGTATCCTGTTGCTGTAGTGTATCTATATGATATATACGCTAGTAGCGTATGAGTGCCGCTGTGAGGAAAAAGAGATATAATGAACAATAAAACAACAAGCTTGAGCTTCTTAAGACACGGTGGGTTTATCTGTTCTCAATACCACCGGTAAAATGAATGGAGTTAGTCTGGTGTCCACATGAAGTTACGTGTGTAGACAAAGAGTCTGGTGTCCATATGAAGTTACATGTGTAGACAGAGACAGTCTGGTGTCCACATGAAGTTACGTGTGTAGACAGAGACAGTCTGGTGTCCATATGAAGTTACATGTGTAGACAGAGACAGTCTGGTGCCCATATGAAGTTACATGTGTAGACAAAGAGTCTGGTGTCCATATGAAGTTACATGTGTAAACAGAGACGGTCTGGGGTCCATATGAAGTTAGATGTGTAGACAAAGACAGTCTGGTGTCCACATGAAGTTACATGTGTCTACTTAGATGAACCCACCGTGTCTTAAGAAGCTGAAGCTTGTTTTATTTTTCATTTTACATCATCTATCTTTTTTTCCTCACAGTACCAGTAGTTCCACACACTACTAGAGTGTATGTATGTTTGTATGTATATATATCCCACCAATCCTCTCTCAAGAGGTTTTCAAAAAGGGGCAAACTCATGTCTCAAGACCTGCTTCTGTTGGTTCCCCTCTCCTGCCTGTAACTTTCCATCCACATCCCCAAAGTTTTGTGGCCCATTATGACATCACTCCATTAAGTGATTGCTGCATGTACTGCTCTAAGGAAACACTTCTCTCTCTCTCTCTCTCTCTCTCTCTCTCTCTCTCTCTCTCTCTCTCTCTCTCGATAGATAGATAGCGTTTATGATTTTATTCTTTTGAATTATCTCTGCCAAACATCTATGTACTACAAATCTTCAAGCTCCACAGATGTTTTATGGCATCCACTAAACCTCTTTAGATATTTGTAAATTATACAGTGTGATACCTTTCAACTAAAGTTTATTTTATTTTTTACCAACTATGATTTTTCCTTTTGAAAACAAGCAAAGCAAGAAAAAAAAGAAACAAAATCACTCCAATCATTGCACACTTGTGTCGTTCAGACTTTGCAGGTCCAGCTTTGACATGATGATCTAACTAACACTAATATTGTAACTAATATTGTAACTGAAATATGTATGATCCTATGATGAGCGATTGCTTACTTCCCCTTCACTCTTAAAAAATTACTGAAAAAAAATGTGTATAAAAAGGTATATGTAGTATATGTTTGTTTAGTGAGCATTCATGCTGTCATTTTTTCCTAATGTGAACTATGGTGGAAATGTGCTGTCCTAAATGGACTTGCCCATATATGTTGTAAAGCCTTTTTTTGTACACCTGCTCATCAACTGACAGTGAAGTACACAAAGACACAGACACACACACACACACACACACACAGACACCTGTAATATTCTTGTTTTCATGTTGTTGCTGATATCCATCAGTGTTGTTCATATTGCTACATTGTGTTGACATGATTGTTGCTTTTAAACGAATGTTAACTTAATGTTTATTGTCTGCATCCTATTGGACTACTGGATGTTAATGTGTAACACGTTTTCCTGTTTATGTGCTTTAGCAATACTGTATGTCAATATGGTCATGCTAGTAAAGCCTCTTTGAATTGAATTTCTTTTCTGATTTGGTTTATTTTACCTAAATGGATACAGGGTAGTGTGTTTTGTTTATAAATCACTCAGAAAGTTTTCTTTCTTAAAACAAAATGGGGAATCAACTGTCCACAGTAGTGGGGCTTCCATAAATAGGAAATGGCACATTGTTGTACCCTTTGTTGTATCCTGGAGTTTTGTTCACATTGAATATGAACCCTGTATTTGTACCCTGTACTTTTTTTTTTTTTTTTTTTTTTTTTCATTTTATGGCACTATCTCTCTTGCATCTGCACTCTTGTACAAAATACGTGTTATAATAAATGTCATATGATTTTAAAGTAAAATAAAGTTTATAATCTTTGAATATCATGTGTTGCCAGTTTTTTTATGTGTGCCCCCCTGATTAAACACTGGCCCCTCCTTGGCCCCCCTAGTAAAATGTGTCTAGAACCGCCACTGGTTAGGCCCATCATGAGCATCTCTATATTTTTCCTGTTGCTTAATTGTTTGAAACCTGGACGTTTTACTTCATATTATCAGGCATGTCTTACCTTGCTTCAAAGTAGCCTATAGCCAAAATCCCACCATAGAAACGTGGAGACAATTATTTCTATGAAGACTTACTCATATGCGTTCTCCTGTTCTATTGGTTGTCAACTTTATTTCATTGTCTAGTTGGCAAGGGCATTATCCGAATCATATTAGCAACCCATGATAGTTGTTGCATCTTTATTCCCATCACTTGTCCATGAAACCGCTTGCATGTGCGGTGCGCATTTTAGAACAGCGTTTTTCCCGCAAATTGCATTTTGGAACGTTCACGCGTGCCTACGATACTATGTACTATACTACCGTGTGTACATTTCTGCGGCTAAACGGTGAAGAAATAATAGTTTATCAACATTTGAAGCAAAACATTCCGATCTGTTCCATCAGCCCTATTCATTTACACGGCATATACCTCCACTACACTACTTTGATAAGCATCAGTGGGGATTAACAAGGGAGTATACGCAATGCCCACTGAAAAACAAGTGGGTATACATTTTACATTTTAGTCATTAGCAGACGCTCTTATCCAGAGCGACTTACAGTTAGTGAGTGCATACATTTTCATACTATACCCTCCACTACGGCTGCCTCCTGGGTGTGAGCCAGGTGCCCAGTTCAAAGCCCACGTAACGTAATTAGCACGGAGTAATGAGTAGGATTCTGTTTCCACATGCAAAAGTGACTGTTTTTGATAAACACGCTTTATCTGCCTTCCCAATGAAAAGTAGTTCGAAAATTCAAACATATATTTTATGGAAAAATACAATGCTGCCTTGTTGACAACATCACCGAGCCGCGCAGATTACTCTTCGATTTGACACCGCGCTCCTCCCTCAGTGCTTTTGCCGTCACATCACGGGCCTTCTAGACCGGTGCCGCGCGGCTTTGCATAATCGAATCCGCCCAATGTCAACGATATCATGCTCTCTGGTGCTGCAAAAAACATGAAAATCAGTTGGACTTTATGAAGGATCTCCATTGATTGGCTTACTTATTTTTCTCATGAAAGTACTTTGTTTGGACTACTAGGCGACTGCCTCGTCAAACACGAGATAGACTGAGGCACCTTAGCAGGGTTGGATCTCCCGGTTGTTGACAGCAGCAGAGAAAGTCGATATTTTGTCGCAGCTGCAGAGGTAAGTGTTACAATTTCACTTTATATTTAGCCGACTCTAAATAACCTCATTGGCACATAGTATAGTCATTATACCATTATACCATAGTAGTCTGAAACATGTTTCCATAGAATATAAAATAATTTTGGCAATGGCTCTCCGAATTACATGTGATCAAATCTTCGAGACAGATTTTTTTGGGCATGAGTTAATGACCTTAAAGGGGAATTCTGCGATCGATAGCTAGTTGTCTACATCATTTCTTAAACTTTTAAATTCACGATATAAACACATTAATTCTTGAAGAAAATAACGTATAAATCCTAATGAGCTCAGTTCAACTGTCGTACCTCATCAGAACCCAAGCTTGTTTTACTCCATTGTTTGTAAACAAAGTAAATGTAAACAAACACTATATAGCCTCAAAACATGTTTAAAACTAGAATATTGTTATGGTCATCCATAACTTTGTCTATGAATTTGAGAGTGGATACATTTCTCCAGGCCTACCCTCAGTTGTTTACCCAAACAGTTGTGGGGTAACTCCTATGTTATTGTTTGAACAGCAGACTCCCCCTTTAAACCACATCGCTATTTTAACCTGTTAACAACATGAAGTGGCCTATTATTGCTATTCAATAACCTTCAGTGTGTCATGATGAATGGTGGGGGATTTGTTGTCCTATTGCTGTAATTCGGATAAACAGGAAATCCTGTTTTGGTGAGGCACTTTAGAGCACCATGTTGATAAAGCCAACCCTCGAGTTGCTATTTTCTCACGCACACACACCTTGTTTGAGATGCAATAATATTTGATTAGGAACAGTAAGGACTATGTTGTGCATGTGGAGTACAGTACCCACTCAGTTTTACAGCTTTCCATTCCTCTAGCTCTACCTTCTGTCCGAGACATGTTTAGGCTACTCAGTGTTTCCCATTTCCCTTAATCAAATCAAATCACATTTTATTGGTCACATAGACACGTGTTTAGCAGATGTTATTGCGGGTGTAGCGAAATGCTTGTGTTTCTAGCTCCGACAGTGCAGTATATCTAACAAGTAATATCTAACATTTATATGCATTTAGCCGTGGCATTTATCGTGGACCCCTGCTAACTCTGCCAACGTTGCTGAATAAATTCCTAGGGGAAACACTGTTAATTATTAATAAAATACATGGCTGATGAATGATATACAGTTGGTGCTATTACAGTGTTCTCTATATAACACCTCACTGCAGGAGAATAGTGTGTGTGTGTGTGTCTGTCTGTCTGTCTGTCTGTCTGTCTGTCTGTCTGTCTGTCTGTCTGTCTGTCTGTCTGTCTGTCTCTCTCTCTGTCTGTCTGTCTGTCTGTCTGTCTGTCTGTCTGTCTGTCTGTCTGTCTGTCTGTCTGTCTGTCCGTGTCTGTCTGTCTGTCTGTCTGTCTGTGTACACCTGTGTGTGCATCTTTTGTGATGGAAAGCATAATACGTGTATAGTGACCACAGCAGTGTTTCCAGTAAAGGTCCTGTTGGATCGGACCACATCAGACATTAGTCAGGGTCCTGTGGGTGCTTTCTCTGGCTCCACTGGCACAGACACAGTTGACATAGAGGATGGAGGGAGATTGAGAAGCAGTGTGTATTCTATGTTAACCGCCTCTCTCCTGGTCTGGTGGGCGTAACGTTCATTCAGGGATGGACGAACTATACAGGTTGGTGCCAATGCTACAGATGGTGGATTTGGGGAGTTCCTCACCTACAGAATATAGTGCTTTGAGACCTGGTGAGGAATACAAATACAATCCGTTAACATGGTTTGTTATTGGCCAGAGTTAACTGTCCTGCATGTCTCTGTAGTTTACTGACGGTCCTTTCACCAGCTGCACATTCACTTCCTCCTCGCCTTGCGAAACCATGACAACTTCTGCCACGGTGACAGAGGTTAAATAAAGGTGAAATAAAAAAATAAAAAAATAATAATAATTTAAAAAACGGTGACAGAGGTATCTGTACGAACCCCTTAACAGAGAGGGTCTTCTTTAGAGCATACGTGCCTAAACACCCCTGGAGGATCTCCTTTAGGCTGGAACTGAAAGTCAGTAGCTGTAAGACTGCATGGGTTTGGAGACTAAACATAAGTCGTTTGAAGAATTGATATTGAGCTACAGTACATGATTAATAAGTAGTTTGAAGAATTGATATTGAGCTACAGTACATGATTAATAAGTAGTTTGAAGAATTGATATTGAGCTACAGTACATGATTAATAAGTAGTTTGAAGAATTGATATTGAGCTACATGCTGAATAAGCTGGTCTACTCACCATGATATCAGATAGATGGCTTGATGTTGCACTCAGCAGAGCAGACCTCTGTCAGGACACTCAGCAGAGCAGACCTCTGTCAGGACACTCAGCAGAGCAGACCTCTGTCAGGACACTCAGCAGAGCAGACCTTTGTCAGGACACTCAGCAGAGCAGACCTCTGTCAGGACACTCAGCAGAGCAGACCTCTGTCAGGACACTCAGCAGAGCAGACCTCTGTCAGGACATTCAGGAAAACTGCTGCTTCTGTGCATCAGATCTGATTTGAGCCTCTTTCCAGTCACTCCATGTTCCCCTAACTGTGTCACCCCAGGGGGAGAAGCCAGCTCTGAAGCCAGTAATCCGTAATGGTGGGTTATTGTTTGTTGTAATATTGACCCAGAGTAGCACACAGACATCTGGACGCAACTTCTTATCTTGAAGCGTTGGTGTCCCCACTGGGTTAGGTGAGGGTCAGATAAACCCTGGCAACTTCCACTTTTCCCGTATGTCAATTTTAGAGTTATGCTTCCTCTGTCCTGGGTATGTTTCTATGGTTACAATGTCTGTCTCCAGATTGATTGATGATGTAAATTGATTGAATCAGATATGGCCTTGGCTTTAAATGGCTTGTCAAGTGTGTGTGTGTGTGTGTGTGTGTGTGTCTGAGAGCCGTAGACAGGGTGACCGCCCCCTCTCATCCATCCAGTAAAACCACAGACTGAAGACAGGGTGACCGCCCCCTCTCATCCATCCAGTAAAACCACAGACTGAAGACAGGGTGACCGCCCCTCTCATCCATCCAGTAAAACCACAGACTGAAGACAGGGTGACCGCCCCTCTCATCCATCCAGTAAAACCACAGACTGAAGACAGGGTGACCGCCCCTCTCATCCATCCAGTAAAACCACAGACTGAAGACAGGGTGACCGCCCCCTCTCATCCATCCAGTAAAACCACAGACTGAAGACAGGGTGACCGCCCCTCTCATCCATCCAGTAAAACCACAGACTGAAGACAGGGTGACCGCCCCTCTCATCCATCCAGTAAAACCACAGACTGAAGACAGGGTGACCGCCCCTCTCATCCATCCAGTAAAACCACAGACTGAAGACAGGGTGACCGCCCCTCTCATCCATCCAGTAAAACCACAGACTGAAGACAGGGTGACCGCCCCTCTCATCCATCCAGTAAAACCACAGACTGAAGACAGGGTGACCGCCCCCTCTCATCCATCCAGTAAAACCACAGACTGAAGACAGGGTGACCGCCCCCTCTCATCCATCCAGTAAAACCACAGACTGAAGACAGGGTGACCGCCCCTCTCATCCATCCAGTAAAACCACAGACTGAAGACAGGGTGACCGCCCCTCTCATCCATCCAGTAAAACCACAGACTGAAGACAGGGTGACCGCCCCTCTCATCCATCCAGTAATACCACAGACTGAAGACAGGGTGACCGCCCCTCTCATCCATCCAGTAAAACCACAGACTGAAGACAGGGTGACCGCCCCCTCTCATCCATCCAGTAATACCACAGACTGAAGACAGGGTGACCGCCCCCTCTCATCCATCCAGTAAAACCACAGACTGAAGACAGGGTGACCGCCCCTCTCATCCATCCAGTAAAACCACAGACTGAAGACAGGGTGACCGCCCCTCTCATCCATCCAGTAAAACCACAGACTGAAGACAGGGTGACCGCCCCCTCTCATCCATCCAGTAAAACCACAGACTGAAGACAGGGTGACCGCCCCTCTCATCCATCCAGTAAAACCACAGACTGAAGACAGGGTGACCGCCCCTCTCATCCATCCAGTAAAACCACAGACTGAAGACAGGGTGACCGCCCCCTCTCATCCATCCAGTAAAACCACAGACTGAAGACAGGGTGACCGCCCCTCTCATCCATCCAGTAAAACCACAGACTGAAGACAGGGTGACCGCCCCTCTCATCCATCCAGTAATACCACAGACTGAAGACAGGGTGACCGCCCCTCTCATCCATCCAGTAATACCACAGACTGAAGACAGGGTGACCGCCCCTCTCATCCATCCAGTAAAACCACAGACTGAAGACAGGGTGACCGCCCCCTCTCATCCATCCAGTAAAACCACAGACTGAAGACAGGGTGACTGCCCCTCTCATCCATCCAGTAAAACCACAGACTGAAGACAGGGTGACCGCCCCTCTCATCCATCCAGTAATACCACAGACTGAAGACAGGGTGACCGCCCCTCTCATCCATCCAGTAATACCACAGACTGAAGACAGGGTGACCGCCCCTCTCATCCATCCAGTAAAACCACAGACTGAAGACAGGGTGACCGCCCCCTCTCATCCATCCAGTAAAACCACAGACTGAAGACAGGGTGACCGCCCCTCTCATCCATCCAGTAAAACCACAGACTGAAGACAGGGTGACCGCCCCCTCTCATCCATCCAGTAAAACCACAGACTGAAGACAGGGTGACCGCCCCCTCTCATCCATCCAGTAAAACCACAGACTGAAGACAGGGTGACCGCCCCTCTCATCCATCCAGTAAAACCACAGACTGAAGACAGGGTGACCGCCCCTCTCATCCATCCAGTAAAACCACAGACTGAAGACAGGGTGACCGCCCCTCTCATCCATCCAGTAAAACCACAGACAGAAGAGGAGGCAGCAGCATTAGTCTTTGATTAGGCTGAGGAAAATATGCCTTCCTCGCATGGTCAGGGATTTAATCAGAGAATTTCATTATAGTGTGTGTGTGTGTGTGTGTAATCACTGTGCATGAGAAAGAGCAAATGAAAGATGAGGCTTAATGTTATCTTGTTGAAATATCTGATGTGTCTGGTTTGGAAGATAAGGCTTAATGTTATCTTGTTGAAATATCTGATGTGTCTGGTTTGGAAGATAAGGCTTAATGTTATCTTGTTGAAATATCTGATGTGTCTGGTTTGGAAGATAAGGCTTAATGTTATCTTGTTGAAATATCTGATGTGTCTGGTTTGGGTCACGTGATCATGCGGTTTATAAATAAGTAAGTGTGTGGCACTGCGTGTGTCTGGGTGTGTAATCTTGGCAAGCACACACACACACACACACACACACACACACACACACACACACACGTGACGTGTGTCTGACAGCTTCTGCAGTGTGTGAGTTTGCACCTGTCTCTGCTTTCTGAGAATTCACTGGCGCAGACACACCACACGCACACACACGCACACACGCGCACACACACACACACACACACACACACACACTAGGTGGGCAATCTGGAGCTTTTTATTGGAAATGCACACACTCTTTGGGGATGTTTCCATTAAAATGAAACGATTTGTGCAAACACTTTGCCCAAAGGCCATGGGGGCTTTAGGGGGCTGGTGATGACACACACATTCACAGAGTGAGAGAGAAAGAGAGAGAGGGGGGAGAGAGAGATGGGGGAGTGTAGATAATAGCCTGGTGATTGCAGTTTGCTCCTCAGTGATGGAGGTTAATCAGCTGCCAGGAAATTGGTACTTCAGCCATCACACTCACACTCACACACACACACATACACACACACACACACACACACACACACACACACACTGTGATATGGAATATTGGCACTCCCTTTCCTTCCCCCTCACTTGTCATTCATGGTATGAAATGTTGTGAAACCATGCGTCACTGTTCAGACAATAGAAGCCTAGTATGTTTGTTGGAGATTGGCTTTGGAAGGCAGCTCTAGCGATCTAAAACTTGCCCACGTGTGGTTTGGACGAAGAGAGATGTGGGTGATAATGATGATCTTGATGTTGATGGTGAAGGGGTTAGGATAAGAGGTTGATGGTGAAGAAGATAAGAGATTGAGGGTGAAAAGGCTAGGATAAGAGATTGATGTTGATGGTAAAGGGGCTAGGATAAGAGATTGATGTTGATGGTGAAGGGGCTAGGATAAGAGATTGATGTTGATGGTGAAGGGGCTAGGATAAGAGATTGATGTTGATGGTGAAGGGGCTAGGATAAGAGATTGATGTTGATTATGCAACATCTTGAAACCACAGACGTACAATCCAAGAGTCGGTAGTGGGGGGCTGACAGACAGACAGACAGACAGACAGACAGACAGACAGACAGGCATTCCCACTGCTAAACTACTTTAGGCTGGGTTTGATCCACAGGTTTGGACCAGTACACCAATATATGCATACAATTTAGCAGACTCTTTATCCAAAACGACTTACAGTCATGCGTGCATAATTTTTTTTACATATGGATGGTCCCATAGCACACTGCCAGAAATTAGGGATTATATTAGTTACTATATTAGCAAATGAGTTAATACATGAAAACACTATATTCTCCAACACCACCTGGTGGAGAGTACAGGTATACTGAGATGAAGAGGACAGCTGTTGGAAGGGGGGGGGGGGGATACATCTCTCTCAGGGTTGTAGTGGCTAGCGATTAGTGCTTTTTGAGGTCTGTTCGGTTTAGGTTCGATTATTGAAAAATATTCAAGCATTTACTAAATGTACTGAATAAGATTCACATTCTTTAAATCTTTTACCCAGATTTTAGCAGATTTGATTTGATTTATTAGGATCCCCATTAGCCGACGCCGATGGCGACAGCTAGTCTTACTGGGGTCCGACATTTAACAAAAAATATATTACAGACAAAATACTTTACAATTTACATACATTTAAAAACATTAACATGTAGGGTGTGTGTGTGTGTGTGTGCATCTATCAGTTACACATACATGTCAGTACACATACACAACAAGTAGGTCACATGGGGGAGAGGCGTTGTGCCATGACGTGTTGCTTTATTTGTTTTTTGCAACCAGGTTTGCTGTTCACTTGCGCTATATAAGATGGAAGGGAGTTCCATGGCTCTGTATAATACTGTACGTTTCCTTGAATTTGCTCTGGAGCGGCGGACTGTGAAAGTCCCCTGGTGGCATGTCTGGTGGGGTAAGTGTGTGTGTAAGTTGACTATGCAAACAATTTGGAATTTACAACACATTAATGTTACTTATAAAAATAAGAAGTGACACAGTCAGTTTTTCTTCAACTCTTAGCCAAGAGAGACTGGCATGCATAGTAGTTATATCAGCCCTCTGATTACAATGAAGAGCAAGACGTGCCGCTCTGTTCTGGGCCAGCTGCATCTTAACTAGACCACATGACTGGACAATAATCAAGATGAGACAAAACTAGAGCCTACAGGACTTGCTTTGTGGAGTGTGGTGTCAAAAAAGCAGAGCATCTCTTTATTACGGACAGACCTCTCCCCATCTTTACAACCTTTGAATCTATATGTTTCGACCATGACAGTTTACAGTCTAAGGTAACACTAAGTAATATAGCCCCCTCAACTTTGTTTAATGCCAGTGGCAGGTCATTGGTGAAAAGAGTAGAGGGCCTAGAGAGCAGCCCTGCGGTACACCACACTTTACATGTTTGACATTAGAGAAGCTTCCATTAAAGAAAACCCTCTGAGTTCTATTAGATAGATCGGTCTGAATCTACTATATGGCAGAGGTTGAAAAGCCATAACACATGTTATGGTCAATAATATCAAAGGCTGCACTGAAATCTAACAGTACATCTCCCCAAATCTTCTTATTATCAATTTCTTTCAACCAAAGTCTGTTGTAAATTTTTTTTACAAAGAAGTAGCATTTTATTTGGTCAAACACCATTTTTTCCCCAATGCTTTGCTAAGAGCTGGCAGCAAGCTGATAGGTCTGCTGTTAGAACCAGTAAAGAGGTATGCTTAGATATGCAGAAAGATACATATATTTTTTACATAGAATTAAGCATAATGCTTATATTGCAGGAAAAGGGTGTTTGAAAAATCCTAAATTCTCCAATTTACGGACGGGGGGCCAAGCCCCCCTACGGACCACCCACCTAGCCATCCTCATGTACTTTGTGCCCCCTCAGATTTTCGGGGTGTATGACGCCACTGTGTGTGTGTGTATCTAACCTAACATAGCAAGCTAAAAGTGTATCTATCTCTGTCCGAGCCTGAAAGAACGGGCGCAATGGATTATGGTCATTGTAGTTCATTACCACGTTTCTGTGCTGAACTAGGTTGAATACTACAACTCCCTTCAGTCCAGCGTCCCACATAGTTCTTGATTTGATTTCTCTCTAGAGAAACGGTGCGTTGGGCTCACAAACAAAACTAAATGGAATTCAAGTAATTGAACCGACGTCAGTCAATTAGTTATTTAATAACCACACAAAAAAAATGACATTTCGGTTAATTGCGCAGCAGTACAGGGTTGTCAACTTTGATGCAATTAACCCTCTCCTCTCTTCTCTGTTTCAGAATGTGAAGCTGTTGCCATGTCAATATCCTCTCTAGAAGAGTTCTCTACGGAACCGTTCCTCCCTGGAACATTCTCACCCTACACAGAACCCCACTCTGAGGAATTCCTCATCGCCATGGGCGACAACAATGTCACAGGGCCAAAATGCACCTATGACGAGGATTTTAAGCGCTTCCTACTTCCTGCCATCTACAGTGTGGTCTTCCTGATTGGTCTGCCTCTGAACGGGGCAGTCATCCTGAAGAACTGGAGGTTACGACCCAACCTGACCCGGAGCAACATCTACATGCTCAACCTGGCCATGGCTGACTTCCTGTATGTGATGTCACTACCTCTGCTCATCTACAACTACGGCAATCATGACTACTGGCCCTTTGGAGAGCTGGCCTGCAAACTGGTCCGCTTTCAGTTCTACAGGTAATATAGCTACTCATTAACTGACATATTCATATCATAGTTCTATATTACTTTAAAAACTTATACTTACAGATCTACAGGTAATAATGAGTCATACACTGCATGTTACCTTTCTGTGGAGAGAGCTTTGAGTGGATTGTAGAGAGAAAACCCTGTCAACATCAGTGATATAATTTCTTGTTTCCACAGTAACCTGCATGGCAGTATTCTGTTCCTGACCTGTATCAGCCTTCAGCGCTATGTGGGCATCTGCCACCCTATGGCTGGCTGGCACAAGCAGGGGGGTCGCAGGCTGGCATGGGTGGTCTGTGGGGGTGTGTGGCTGGTGGTCGCCCTCCTCTGTGCCCCCACTTTCTACTACGCCTCCACAGGAACACAACGCAACCGCACCGTCTGTTACGACCTGAGTCGACCGGAGCACTCGACCGACTACTACCCATATGGGATGGCCCTGACCTGCCTGGGCTTCCTGTTGCCTTTTATGGGCGTGGTGGTGTGCTACTGTCGAATGGGTCGCCTCCTCTGCCGCCCACCGTCCTATCAGGGTGTTAACATGGCCGCCTCAATGGAGAAACGGGACAAGGCGGTGAAGATGATAATCATCGTGGTGACGGTGTTCGCTGTTAGCTTCCTGCCGTTCCACCTTACTAAGACCATGTATCTGTTGATACGAACATTACCAGGTGCTCCGTGTGCGACACGGAACCTGTTCTCAGTGATCTACAAGTGCACCAGGCCGTTCGCCAGCATGAACAGTGTTCTAGATCCTATACTGTTCTACTTCACACAGCCGCGGTTCCGCAAGAGCACCAGAATACTGGTCACCAAGATCACCACTCTCAGAGACAGGGAACCAAGATGTGAGAAAGTGAAAAACCTCACCTATAACCCTAGATTATTTAGAACCAATGTTTAACTAGAAGCTCATTCAAGGGTAAACTCACAAAATAACCGCGGTGTGTGTGAAACACCCATAGTCCACGATTGTATTGATACCATGGGTTCTGGGTTCCTAGAACCCATCCAGAACCCTCATTGACTTCTGCTCTGCCAGCATGGCAACAAGCCAGTGTGTTTGCTACTATGTTTGCTTGTGACTGTATGCTAAAATGCATGAAGTAGTCAGCCATATAACTGCGTTTGGTTGCCATAGTATTATGTATTGTATCCTGTATGTCCGCGTACACCGCTGGTTGTTTTCTATATGAGCCACTAGGTGGCATGTATTACCTACATATCCCATGGCCTTAAAGGGATAATCCGCCCCAAACCACTAATTCCTATGATTAACAGTGTTAAACAGTGTTAAATAACACTAATCTATGAAAACAAATGTTTAATTTTGTCGTTATAACACGGTTGGTAGCAACATGAAAATCGTTGTGGAAATCTTTTGCAGCTCAAATCGAATACAAAACATGCAATGCTCTCTTTCTGGGCTGGCTAGCTAGCGAACGTAGCTACACAGAATAATACCAAAGACAATATCAGCATGTAAAGTAGCTAGTTAGCTGTAAAATCACCTAAACAAATTGCATCAATTTAGGAGAATATCTCACCGAGTTCAGTTTGCAGTTCCTCTCTGCCCAGAGCGTGTACAGAATACATTGCTATGGCAACAGTGACCCTTTCCCACAGACACACAGGGTGCATTGCGAGATGGTACTTGAAGGAGAAAACTGAGTTGAATAATTTGGTACAGTGTTTAGATTGAGCACAACTAAGTGAAATGTATACTTTGCCATGACGATATTTAAGTGATAATGCCCTCGAAGCCGGTGTTTGGAGGATATATTGGCACGGGTGTTGTCGAGGGCTGGCAGACCGTGCTAATATATCCTCCAAACACCGGCTTCGAGGGCATTTTCACTTTTATACATTTTAGTCATTTAGCAGACGCTCTTATCCAGAGCGACTTACAGTTAGTGAGTGCATACATTTTTCATACTGGCCCCCCGTGGGAATCGAATCCACAACCCTGGCGTTGCAAGCACCATGCTCTACCAACTGAGCTACTACAACGGGTTACCACCGGGTTACCACCATATTCAAATAATGATAGACGTATTTTCATTAAAACATTTATTTGTATTAATTTATTCATACTACCTCATCCTTCCACAAGATATAGTCCCGACACAAATCTAGGGTTGCTACCCAAGCCAGCTGGTCGTTTGTTCTATCGGTTCGGTTGCCAGAGACACGACCCAGTTGCTTGCTATCTAGCCAACTACGGCTAACTTACAGTCACGTCAAAAAGTGCAACCAGATTATAACAAAGTAGCTGCATTTGCATTTGTTTAAGCTGTTTTCTAGTGACATTTATTTGGATACATCCATAACAATGACCTAATGAGGTGCGATTTCGCCTGGCATAGAAAATGTGCTCACTCGTCAGGACACTGTTGTTCAGAGGAGCTAGCCAACAACACAGCTAACACAATCACTTTAAACTGAAGCTGGAAAGATTGCAAACTAGCTGCACTTAGTTTGGTTTTACCTTTTTTCAATTGACATTTATTTTTATATATCCATAAAAATGATGCCAGCTGATTCATGATTTTGACTGGCTGAGAAACGCTGCCTGCCTTTCTGTCTCATCCCGACTCCCGACACATTCATTACTATGGGACAGCTGGAGTCAAATTTGAATATTGAAACAATGTTGCAAATGTTGCAAATGTCGGAGAGACAAACAGCAAGGTTTATACAAATCTCCGCTGTTGAAAACCAAATGTTAGTTTAAAAGAAATGTGAGATGATGTCTAGATGCTTTTTATAGTGGAGATCAAGTTTATAAATCGCCTGGCTGGGCTGATGAGACAGTGGATTGCGCAGTCAGATGGAACAGACTAAATAGGCATTTTAACGTCATAGATTTAGCCGGTGGTAACTTGTGGAATAGACACCGGCTGGAATGTGGATTTAACCAATCAGCATTCAGGATTAGACCCACCCGTTGTATAAAAATGGATGGATGTGTTCTAAACAGGTGTGCCCATACCATCTATTGGCTGATTTGGCGATCTGGAGTGCAGGTAATTGTTTTAAAATCAATCAATCAATCAATTTTATTTTATATAGCCCTTCTTACATCAGCTAATATCTCGAAGTGCTGTACAGAAACCCAGCCTAAAACCCCAAACAGCTAGTAATGCAGCATTAGGAAATGTGATAGTGATGAGAACCATGTAGCTATGATGCGTTCCTACACGATTTCCTGATTTCACAGACGGACCACATACAAGTTAAATAAAAAATCATTGGGAAATATTTTATTTTACCTACTAATAGAACATAGGCTTTCACCAAATTGACCAGAGTTTAATAATTGTTTTATTTTCGGGGGGGGGGGGGGGGGGGGGGATTATTCCTTTTAAATTGACTGTTGTGTCTGTTTCGACTGTGATGTGCTATTTCCTTTCCTATCTAATAGGCATTTAGACATTTTAAAAGTGAGAATGTCTGAGACAAACATTAAATGTCTTGAAATAAGCACTTGTATGCATGACAAACTGTGTCCCTGACATGTAGATTGATACTGATGCTTTGTGATCTAATGCACTCCTCAATATTTTTGCCACTACTATATGAGATAGAGTTGTATTTTAGTTAAATGTTGCTTAATGTGTTTTTTTCTTGTTTTTTTTCTTCAAACAATGGCCTTGTAAATGCATAAGTCTCCAAGAGAATATCACAGGACTAGTTCCTCAAACCTGGACTTACAGATCAGCTGTTGTCCCTATGTGTATCAGCTGCAGCAGATTGGATTGCTCAATTCCACACATTTTTGGCATGGTTTGTTCAAATGTGTGTGACATCTGATGTTTTTGTTCCTAAGTCTGTCTGAAATGTGATGTGTGTGTGAGCGCCTGAGTTTGTGTGATTGTGTGTGCGTGCCTCATTGTGTGCGCCTGAGTGATTGTGTACGCCTGTGTGTGTGTGTGTGTGTGTGTGTGTGTGTGTGTGGTGTGTTTGTGTAACCTCTGCCTTAGCTTAAGGCCCTTAATGAAGTGATAACATAAGTTTGATATGTGGAGCACATGTCTGTATGGGTCTAATAGGAACCAAAGTAGATCTCAGATGCTCTTCTTGGAGCGGATATGTTTCTGTGTCAGTGTATCATTTTTTACAGTTAGACTTATTTTTATAACATAGAGAGAACAGAATTACTTTTTTGTTACAAATTAGTTTTATTTCTTCACTTATGTTTATACATGTATTTATTAGTTGTGCTGTTTTATACATGCCCAGGCATGTCCGTACCTCTGCTTTGTAGCTCTAACCTTCTCTCCAATTAACAAGCCTGTTGACACTGTAATAAACATAATATTCTCAGTTGTCAATAAAGATTACATATATCAACCAGATGTGTTTATTCTGGTATACAGTTAATATATTGATTGGAAATGTTCTGTTCTCGCTCCGCCACTCATCTACAAAAACAGAGGGAGAGGCAGGGCAGGTCATTTGGGAGAGGCAGGGCAGGTCATAGGCTCGACCCTAAGAGCAAAAAGAATGGTGCACTTTTATACATTGGCCGTAAGATGGCGCTGCGGTCAACATTCCATCACCCAGAGGACGGTATAATATCCCTGCTGGAACAAAGAGCTACTTTACCAGACAGTCATGGGAAAAACCATAAGAGTCATTGTGCATGAGAGAAAATGCTTTATTAAAGTTGACACAATTCGCAAACCCGACACTCACGACCCCGCATGAGTCAGCACTAATAATAACTTCATTAAATACACTGACAGTGGGAACACTGTTACCAAAGGTTATTCTAGTTTAATTTAGTTTAAAGTACAATTTCTCTGCCCTCCAACGGTTTACTTTACACGGTCCTGAGCTATAATTCTCCCTCTCTGTCCGCAATATCTGTGCTCTCCCATCTAAAAGGAAATGCTTTTTTCTGCCCATTCCCGAGGGGCTATGACAGCCCTTATACCCCGATTAGTCCCGCCCACGCCTGGTCTCTCATTCTCAGGCATTTGCATGTAAAAACATAAGTCACGGAAAACTCAATTATGTCAACAAAAATAAGGAATATAGCAACAGTTCGGGATTACATTGAGTTGTGAGTTTAGGGCCAGCCGCGTGGATAAAGCGATGGGAAAGAGTCTGGAATATGGGGGGATCTATGGAAAAGCTGCATAGTTGAAGGAGAAACGTTTAGACAAACTTTAGCCCTTTTTCTTCGTGCTTGGATGCGATTCGAGAGGACAACTTGTTGTAAGGTCAGAATGCAGAAGAGTTATCTTTCTTTCACTTTGTTTACTCCATAATTCACTCTCCTTTTAGTGTAAACACTTTGGCCTCTTTTCAGTGCAGTAGAGAGAAAAAGCCTTGCCAGCAAGTTTTGGTTAAAAGTAGCCTATTGTGCTTGGTTGAAAAGGGGTGAAAGGCACTGCAGAATAAAAAAAGTGCCTTACCACTCTATCAATGAATTAACAAAAGGAGACAAACTAACAAAAGAAAGACGTGCACGATGGCAGAAAAGGAGAAGGAGTACCGCAGTGTCTCTTTCAAAAAGTCAGAAGGTTGTAGCGCGAGCAAAAGTCGCTGTGAAGATCAACAAAACAAATGGACGGATTTGGAGGGCAGTAGCGGCGCCCTTCCCCCTCCATCTACGGCAGCGGCGGAGAAAGCGCAGCCCTCGGCTCTGCGTAATGTTAGTGTGTCAAGGAAAGTTTCCAAAATCTCCGCTGCCAGCCACCCCACCGCAGAGCTAAAGAAAGGCTCTACCACTCCTCTCTCCTCCATTTCTCCCTCTATTCGCCAACTCACTGAGAAGTTCAGTAGCACTAATTTGTCTCGAACGCATGGAGCTCCGAGCCCTGGCAGTAACGTGGCCGGGAAAAGCACAACTTTACCACCGGTTAAAAGCAGCAGGGGAGAAGGGTCCCCGTCTCT